ATGGTGGCACACAACCTACTGATACGGTGACCCTATTGAGTGCGAACGCAATCGTGTGTGGGACGAGTCACGGTTAGGCTGCGAGCATGATCATGTTTGACATGATAACTTGCATCGTGGATACAGCAAGGTTTATGCCGGTTGAATCGTGAATCGACAAACATTGGCTTTCTCATACTTGAAATTGGGGTAGTGTAAATTTATCTTGGAATCAACAATTTCTTTAAAAAAATATTTACTTTTTCTAATTATTTAATTTTGTATTTTTATAAAGCTAATTCTTGAATATCTTATGTCCAGAGAGAATAAATTTCTTAATTTAAAAAGTTTTATACCAAATTATTAAATCTGTTATTTAGAGAAAAACTTTACATAGAAAATCCACCCGTTTAATGGTCTCTGAGAGAATAAATATACACGGGGATCATTAACGATGTAACGATCAAAAATATGTCATGGGATATTTTCATTCTAAATTTCATCGTTAATGAAATCAAAGATAATGATCGATACGATCCTCATCGAGTCCGCATAATTGGCCGGATTTTATACAATGGAAATGACGGTGGGTGTGCGGTTGATTTATTGTGGCGCTGTACCGTTGTTGCCGGTAATTTTATCTCCATCAAACGTTTTTCCAGGAAATCGAAACCAAATGGGAGTATTAATATCTCATTGTACGCTCGCGTGTCGCCGACACTTTTCCCGCTCACGCTGGGCTTTTCCATCGATTTATATCCCCTCCCACCATTTTTCTCGCCGATTAAAGTGAGTACTCGCGAAACCGCGCGCATCGAATCACAGTGGCAGCGTTTGAAATTGACAAAATGTTCATGATCACAAAAACAATTATACGCGGTTCGTGATTTTATTATTGACTCGCCACGGTGTCGATAATCAAACAAATACTTGTAATTAACAGCGAAAAATTAGCGTGAAGTGATCCACTGTGCCAACGCGACAGAGAGCAATTTACAAGACGGCTTAATTAAAAAGCACTCTATCAATGGTATTCGTTTGTATTTTTGATTTCCAAGTAATAAACGATACGCATTAGCGTAATCTAAATTAATCCTCGTCGATTGTAATTATTTTCGGTTTTGCATCAATTGATGAAACATGATCCGATGCAGCCTTTTAGTAATAACATATTCGTGATGTTAATACTGTATATACTACTTTTAATATTAAAATTATTTTACATTAATATTTCAATAGCTTGAAATATTTGTTGAAAATATTAATAAAATCGAAAGTAATTGATAAAAACTTCCCACCAAACAAGCTGACATTACTATGTCATTTTGATGTTCAAAACATCATTTTGATGTCAAAATGACGATAAATAGCGTCAGTTTGTTTTCTCAATTATGATCTAGAACATTCAATCGCTAAATTCATTTCTATGAGTTAAACAATTGTAATTATGTAAAAAATGTTTAGATAGTTATTATTGAACGTTTTAATCACATGGTTATAACTTTTCGTGTCTGAATACTAGGTTTGTTATTCCTTGAATGTCCCTTAGGCCGTGAATGCGGCGAGTCTCGAACGTTATAGCAGATAAAGATAGTCCCCTGATGATAACGCCGTACTAAGATACTGTTGTTTCGAAGCAAGTAGCCGTATCTTGATTGGAATCTTTGTCCCTTACGGTTATCTAGCACTAGATGTGGATACGCGTGTAAAACTCGATTACTTGCATTTGTAACAGAATTTGGTATATGGTGAAACATTTTAATATTAACGCATATGTACTTTTTCTATGTACGTGTTACATTATCTCTACATTTATTTATATTTCAAATAGACAAATCTATAAATCAGCCTTTCCTCCATTATTAAAACTATACAATTGTTCAAAGGAGATTCGTTTGCCAAACGGTTATATCTACTTTGTATCACAAAGTCATTTATTTCGGCTGATAATGAGAATATAAAAGACACCTGCAGAATATATGCAACGTGCGCGTTTGCCGTTATTTCATATTTTTACGAAGGCCGAGAGCCTTCGAAATAATTATGTCGAAAGGATAAAGGCCTCTGCGAATTAAAAAGGTGAGCGTGGATTGCGGTGGATCAAAGCAGCAAATCTCTCTGAGATTTTAAACAAGAATAGAAAAAGCATAGATTCAGAATTATCTGTGATATATAGTATATATATATATATATATAGTAGAGAAAAAGTTTCGACCTCATTTTTATTAATAATATTTCTCAATTTTGACGGAAATTTACGATTTGAATCTTTCATGCGATATAAAGAACGATTGTATTAATTTCGATTATGTTTATTAATAATATTTATTAATATTATTATGAAAAGTGATTATTTGTTAATATTGATATTAAGAAAAGTGATAATGACTCCGCATTATCTATTTCTTGGTCTCGAATATAAAGTTGAATCTTCAAAATGAAAATAATAAAAAGGAAAAAAATATTAAAAAATGCGAACTTTATGAATGTGAATAAAATATATAGTACTTAAAAAAAATGACACATAACGCTTTCATCCAACGTCTTTACTAAATAACTTATAGTAGAAAGGGTGTGTAACTTCTGAAATACTCTGTATACGTTGACTCGCGTCACGCCCTTCAATTATCATGCTGCCTATCGCACTGTTAGACTTCCGCATACAATTACTTAGTAGAGCTCGTAGTCATGTAAAGATATCCGAGAACGTAGATAGCTAGTTCTGATGATTCGTTGAAACAGCAAATTGAGCTACTATCCTCTCTGCACAAGCCAAACTTAATGTTATATGAGTAATTAAACAGAATGTGCAACAGGCCGTGTGCGATTTATAATTTCCAATAAAAGCCTGATGCTTTAGTTAAATTTTCTGTGGCCGCTGATCTCGTTGTATAAAACAGAAAAACTAAATATCACTTTATGATATCGATTAAATTATAAATCCGCATAATCCCACATTACCGCACACCTCTAATTGCCATCAATAATTATCGCATACCTGTCAGTGCCCGGAAACGTTGTTAAAATAATGTTTAAACTGCACGCTTTAATTACGTTGCTACCTGTTGCTGCCTGATTGCAAAATAAATATTTATTTGTTTGAATATTAATCTGTTATCTGTGCATTGCGCTTGGGTATTATGAGGAAAAATATTCTTGGCTGTGCATCAAAAAGAGAATTCGATACCATCGACCTCCCTTTAAACCACTTTAAACCAATCGCTACGCGGATATATCAGTTCGCCGCAGTGTTACCTGTTTATTGTATTTAAAATACAATGCAAATTTTATCTGCTTAATGAAGCGGACGTAAACGCGGTGTTTCGCGCGTCCGCGATTCGATCCTGATTTTTTTACATAGCAAAAGTCGTTTCTATATCTTCTTTCTTTTATATCGACGCTTTTGTAAGATGATACGTTACTATCGTAATTGAAGATAGGACTGTAACTATTTCTTATCAATTGGAGAATTATCTTAATGTTACCGATAGGTACGAGTTAAGATGACCAGTAAAACTGTTACACATGGCAAACGGTTGGTTCATTTTGCCAGATAAGAAATAACCGACTTGGAATCATGCGTGCAAGACGGTCGGTTGAGAGAATCTACCATGCGTTAAAGGTACGAAGGAATAAGCACGATGCGTGTCCATGTAATCTTGGCATGGGGTGCACCTGTAGGGGGCCTTCAGGAAGTAAGACCCCATGTGCACGAGTGCTCATTCACCATAGCGAAGACGTTGGCGATAGTCAGATGCCCTTTTAAAGAGCCGGATATCCTTTCGAGGCACTAAACCACCAGTCTTTTAGTTTCAACGGTTATTTTCATACATGATTGTAACGGTTTTATGAGATGTTTCGCAGAAGGAGATCTCAAAAATAAATCGGATTGAAAAGAGATATATAAAAATGTTAATAAAAACAGTCTCTACAATCTTCTATCTCTTACTTTCAACATATAGATTTTTCTTAAATTTTTCACAAAATTCGACACGTATTTAATTGTACAAATTGTGATGCAAATCTATGGAAAACAGAAAATGTGACGAAGGGTATTTGCCTGAATATTACAGAGCTTTGTATCCGTGCATCGCTCGACGATTTTCGTTGCATGTTATTTAGTTATACAAGTATACGAAGCAAAGCCTAATGCATCTACGACGTAGAGGCTAGGAATTTCTGAACGAACGTAACGTGAGCAAGTTCCCAGGAGCGACAATCGGTCGTCATAGTTACCGGATTTGTCCGTTGTCCTCGCGCTAGGAAGCGTACCTTCAATCTGCATTGTTAAGATCGCGGACGCGCGGACGTCAATAAGTGCCGCCACTTACGGATGTATTCTGTGATGGTGAACGGCACACGTGTATGCGCGCGTGCCTGAGTGCGTGGAGGAACGTGTTGCGGGTTCACGCCGCGGAACCATTCGGAGAATGTACTCGGGTAGAACGAGGCGAACGGGATTCGGACGCCATTACCGCGGACATTGTCCGGCGGAAATCATTAAACTAAAATCTAACTACGGGCTAATATAGCAAACCCGGGCCTATTCTGAAAGCTTTCATACCCAGCCGCAATTCGCTTCGGTTTAGGCCGCAAGTACGGGTCCGTATGGACAATGTGTAACTCGTTGCCGGAATTCCCACGGATTCGCCGACGATGATGGCACCGCGATGAAGACGACAGTGGTAAGTTTTAATGCGAATAATGGCTATCGGCGATATATTCTCGTACGTTACTTGTTGCAATTTAAACTTCATACATGCGCTACGACTGATGGATACGCGTATCTTCATATCTTTGTTGTATGTAAATTCAAGTTGCATACTTATAGATTGAAAATTAATGTAATTCCAGATTCAGGGTATTCCAGTATCGCCTATATGGTTACAAACCTCGACAGCGATGCGTTAATGTTTAAGGATATGATCCAATCAGTTGGATCGATATTAAAATTCAAACGCGACTAATATCACTGCATAAATGGCATCTGATTTCTATGCTTTGAACTTAATCAGTCTTACCTTTTTGTCTGTATCATATCGTAGTTATCCTAAGAATCTCGGATTACTTCTGCTCGATGCTCTTCTATGAACTGCTACAGCATATCGACAAATAGGAGATCTGTAAAGGAAAAGAGGAAAAAATTGTCAAAATGAGTAAAAGCATTACATTACGAGTGAAAGTGATCGAGTAAGGTGAAACGAGCGGAAGTAGCCGGTTATCCGACGTACGCATGTAGCGCGGAACGAGTTTAAATAACAATTTCGCGGGAGAAAATGAGCCATCAAAAACAATGCGACAGTTAAAAGGTTTAATTCGAATGGTCAAAGGTGGAGAAGAGGAGCGACTCTGACTGCAGTCCAGGACCGAGGGAAAGCGAGAAACAGAAAAGTATAGAGGAGTACGGTGGCGCAGGGGGGAGGAGGAGAGAAAAAGAGGGTAGCGGTCGGAGCGAAGGGGTGCGCGAAGTTGAACCGAGGTACCTTTCAGTACCGACGTAGCCGACCTTCGTGCAAACGTACGGTACGCCCGTACTTGTATGCCGGCGAATTATTATGGTGAAACGAGTACGAAAGCACCCCAATATCCTCCGTCGGCGGTGCGGCCACGAATCCATCGTACATATATATACGTTTCAACGCGCGCCTTGCTTGTGTACGCGCGTATACGCGTTTGGCTGTGGTATATCATTGAGTATGAAGTTGCTGGCCGGGTAGGAATGTTAATACCGTGGCTGTCACCGGCAGCAGCGGGTTCACCAATCCGTCCGTCCGTTTGTATGTTTGTCCAGCATCGAGTTAGACTTTTCCGTACAGATTCGAACGATAGTCGAGGATCGCATCAGTTTGATGCAAATCGCGATCGCATATTATCTAGTTAGCGTCAGAATGGTAGCATTATTGTTCAAGAATATGAGGCACTTTTCATATTCCTCATGCTTGAATAGCTTGAATAACGAATATTCAGAGTTTTATCGGTCATGTTCTTTTTCAGCAGTCTGTTGAATTCTTCGAACAGACGCGATGTATTTTCAAGGAAAAGTTGGTATCGCTGCTTTCAAGATTTCTTTTGCAAATTTTGTGCCGGAATAAAAATGAAAGACAAGTTATACAACGGTCAGAATATCGTAATTTAAGAGAAATTTTTTTGTCTTTGATAAAGAGGAAGATATTGAGGATGAGACTCGAAGATCGTTTTATCATTAAACAGACAACGTGAATGACTGCACGATAAGCCAGTTTAAGGTTTCCCGTATTGCACCTGTTTACGACAACACGCATTCGATAATTGGAATCGAATATGTCAGTCGCTCAGTTCTAGCGGATCACGCACATGCACATTACAACTTGATGGAGTAGGATGGGCGAAAAGACTGACTCTAGGGAGTCGATGCCATTGATCTGCTCGATCTATGGAAGCTGGACGCTCGCAAATCAACCATCACACACTCGCATATGTATTCGGTTTTGTGTACATGTGTGCACACGCTTCTTGTCAATGGCTTTAGTATATATTCATGTTCAAACCAAGGCATAAGTCGGTATCAAATAATTTGACAGAAAATATTTTTCTCGGATTTTACAAAATATCTTTTATAAAATTGCGCAAAATAAATTCCATGTTTTCATACTGTATACAAAATATACGTACTCTTTATGAGTTTAATATACGGTTTAAATCCTGCATATAATCCTGTCTGAAGATGAATCGAATGAAATTTGATTAGTAATCGTATGTTTTATAAGAAGCTGTTCTAAACTTTTAAGATTTGGTATCGCAATTCTTATTGCTTCGCAATTCCGACGCACGTATTCAGACATCGAAGATCGATTTGGTGGCCGTGACATAACTCACTAAACAAAACGAACGCGCAACGCGGCAAACGGTGGTTGACAAAAAACAAAAGCAAAAGCCAGAAAAAATAGAGTGAGAGGGAAGAGAGTTAGGCGATGAGAAAGAGAGAAAACTAGTGTGAAAAGAAGCAGTAAGAGAGACTGGAACATTTCGATAGACGTAGCGAGTGGTAGAAAGAGCAAGAGAGTGAGAGATCGACTGAGAGAGAGAGAGAGAGAGAGAGATATGCAAGAGGAGGAGCACCACGCGCGAGTAGCGAAAGCTGCGCAAAAAAACCGCAACGCGAAATCCGGACGCCCCGGAAAAAAGGGGCAAAAAGCCAGAAAAAAATAGTGGAACGCTCAACCCCGCCGGCGCACCCCCTTGCCATCCGATGGTCCGATGGGGGAAATGAAATCGACAGGGCGTCCACCTATCGGTCCGATGCCACGTACACAATCCAGCGCTTGCATGTAGCATCCTCAACACATGTCGGCGGATTGCTTTGTCCACGTGCATTACGATACACCAGAGCGAACGCCCCCGCTGAGCACACACATTTACGCGTTCTCTCTTTCTCTCTCTCTCTCTCTCTCTCGCTCTCTTTCTCTCTCGCCCGTGTTCCAGCCGATCCATGCGCTGGTGTGTTGACGGCGCGTGTGTACCCCGACATAACTAAACAAGCAACAAGTGACCTTAAAATCTACGAATAAAAATACCGGCCACACTGATCGGATATCGTGCGCAGCTGCAACAGAGGCGCGAAGGGGTGAAACTGGGTGAGGGGTGCACATCGCCGTGCCAAGGAAGCTCGAGTAATTGCGTGCATCTAGAATGCAAACATTATGATTATATTGAGAAAATTAAAAAAGAAGAGAGAGAGAGAGAGAGAGAGAGAGAGAGAGAAAAAGTAGCGACAAGGTGTATCGTGAAGAAATGTATCGTGGATTAAAAGTGAACGCGGCTGTTCTGATTGTAACCGGTCCATTCTCTACTTATTCTCTTCTTTTGTCAAATATAGACGCGATTATTACAGCAGGTTAACGAGCAAGCGCTGCCCAGCTCGATTTCCTCGTTAATACACGCTAAATACTGAATGCGGAAAAGCCTGTTAATGCATTCCGACTTTTCCGTAGAGATTCGTTGTTTTAATTGATGCGTAAAGCGCATTGGGATGCAACAAATAATTTCACGGCATTAGAGGAAGTATTATTGTAGGATTGACGGAATAAGACGATAAAGAACTATTCATCGATTCGAAATTGAATTAAAAAATTTATCGCAATCGTATTTCTCGTATATTTTTAGCAATCACTAAAGTAGTGCAATTTTAACAAAATTGGCTTATGAAAAATATCTGTAATAAAAAAAAGATTTTATTAAAGATTAGTATTATGTACTAATAATCGTTCTCATATTAGATTTGAATAATTGCTCTTAGCTCATAATTTCACTCAGACTAAAGACACGTAAGATATAATTGCTGCGATATCACTTTTCCGCGCTCGCTGCTGTAATTATTAACGTTGCGCTGAGAGAAAAAGTAGACGTGGTCTTCGTAAAGAGGGCGAGTTTCTTCTCGTAGCACTAGCATAGTAAGAAGCAACAAGTGACCTTAAAAACTGCGGAGATAAAAATACTGGCGGTTGATCGAGAGTTTTGCACGCCGCCGCTGAGCCAGCGGTAGATTGGGGTATGATTGGGTAAGTGGGCTTTTCGGGGTTGGAGTTAAACGGGACGGAGAAGGGAGTGTGTAAAAAGTGGTATAACACTGAGACGCAGGTCTGAACCGAGCACACTGTTTCGTAGTTTGGCCCGTTTATTCGCATATAGTTATATCGTGCTATCGATGAAAATATCTCTCTGTTACTGGAAAATCGCTTTTAATATGTTGAACCTTTGAAGAAAATATGTCGTTTGTAGTCAATAATTTTAGCTTAAACGATTGTAGTTCCAGCTATGCAGTAAACAAAAAAAAAATAAAATTAAATATTGTCAGAAAAGTGTCATGTCCTCTCGCGTTTTGATGAGCGTTTCATTTTTGATGTTAATTTTGATATTTGATATGCATCGTAACATACGAGGAAATACAAGAAAAAGCTTTTGGCTCTTAATTAGAGATATTATTCCAAACTTTTCATTATTTACGTATAACGAATAATTATACTCGGTGGATGATTATATTTTAACATAATATAAAATAGCGTTGATTATTTAAATATTTCAATTATCATAATGATTAACTTTCATCTACAAGTCAAGAAATATCGTATGAAAATCATACAAAATTCTTCAAAAGTAACCAATTCCAATTACATCGAGCTGGCGTAGCAAATACGAAAGGACTATAGCGCAGGGTGCGATCATTAGAGCAAAGGTGATAGATTCCAACCCCTTTCCTCGTTAGTTCCGCCGGCGACCGCCTAAGCAGGAGCTCGCCACTGTCCAGCAACCCTTTCACTACCACACGCCGTTCTCAACCCCTTAGTACACACGTACAGGCGTCTACAGACTCGCGGCGATTTTTCTTCGGCGTACTACTACAACCCCGCCGCCGGCGTTTCTCACCACCACAGACACGGGGCGCCCCATACGCGCGCAATACAGAGACGGCGAGATTGCGCGTGTCCTCGTTTCGCGTATCGAAAAGGTACCGAAGCCTCTCTTTTGCTGACGATCGCGCATGACCGAGCACGCTCGCCGTCTCACTCGCACCTCTTCCATCCTGACCGACTAAATTATAGGTCCGCTCGCCTTGTTTATTCACGCTTAATTACACGAGAGCCTCGCGATGCTCCGTAACGTACGCGTTGCAGTTGAGAGAGAGAAAAAAAAAGAATCTTGATCGATGTTCATCGAGCGATCCAATACGATAAGCTATATATGATCCTCTTTTGAAAAGAAGATACTCGATCCTCGAGCACGATCTTTTGTACGACTGAGGAACGAGAGAGCGAGAGGTTTTTAAGGAGTATTCTTTCTCCAAATTTCGAGTCTCTAACTATTATACAAAATCCTCGGGTCGAAGGTGAGCGTTCGAGATATCTCACCGATACGTAAGTATACGTACGAGTATACCGAACGCACACCGTCGCCTCGGAAATACCGATGTTACACCTCGTGGTATCCGCATGGCTCACACGTACGCAGCGAGTCTCGTCAGTGTGATAAAACGCGGTCGCTCTCTCGCACCTGTCTCCTCGCCGCGTCTGTCTCTCTTCCTTCGTGTATACCTTCGTAGAGGGTCGGTGGTCAGCTTGGCAGCGGGAGGCATTCTCTTTCTCCCTTTCTCTTTTGTGCTCCCTCCGCCGTCTCCGCCGTTTCCGTCTGCGTTGCGCTACCCTTCCGACACGGCAGAGCTTTCCTCTCTTCTCCGCAGCCTCCGCAAGCTCCGTCTTCCTCCTACGATCGCTGTCCGGCGCGTCTCGAACGAGTTCGGTGGCGCTCGTATCGTTTCGTCGATGCGTCCTTGTCGCGCTCGAACCTTCGGGAAAAGAGAAACGGCGCGTCCCGTCTCGCTCTTTCATACGCGGCTCGCCCCTGCCGACCCCTGCCCACCACCCAGTACGTCTACCAACGGCGATTCCGTCGCGAGTTTACACGATCGGGATCTTCCTCGTCGCACCGCCGATTCTCCCGTTGCTATCGTCCTCCTCGAGACTCGTTCAGGAGCGCTGACGAGGCCATCGTCACCCGTGGTAAGACGTTACGTTTGGATATCTTTCCGATTGAAAATCAGATAACGTAGCATTCCAATCTTAAGATTTGCATTCAAACTGTTATTTGTCGTATTAGATATAAGTATAAGACAGCGCGATCACGTTCAACACCGTTTACGCTACGTAGTACTGTTTGAAGTAGATCTCGAATGAATTTCGTTATATATCGAACGCCATCATATATCGAACATCTCGATCTCGTTCGATTTTATCGCTCCGGCGCGAAGTGAATCGCAGTTAACAACTTGGGCTCTCCCGCGCGAAAAAAAAAATGCGCAATCGCGCAGACCTTAAATAAGTTACGGGCGGGCGGTGCGGCATAGCGTTAATCGACGTAAACGGCGTCTCGCATAAATCTTCAATTTTACCGCTCCGGGCGGTCGGGTTCCCGCGTAGAGCCAGTACCAAGGGGCGGTCCTGCTCCCGCGGCACTTTTCTCTGTCCCTCTGCCCGGCGCGGCGCGCGAGCCGTATCTCGCACACCAGCAGCAATCCCCGCGTCAACC